GTACTCCGGGTTTAACAATGACATCGGGACGTCAGTCATTTCAGTCCCCCGTGACCATGGGTGCTGGAAAGCGCCGGAAACGTCGGGAATAAAAAATAAAAGTAAATAAAAAGTAAAAATCAACGCGATAAAATCCGTAAAAGTAGTTTTAATCATGTATAGTGTTCGCGTAAATATAAGAAATCATTAAGTATTTTGTATACTTTTTTAAATAGAACAGTAAACAGTATTAACTCACTCCCTGTTCCATGAATCGTATATGAACATTTCGATTGTCTAACTATTGTCTGTTTCGCGAACAGGGAAACTGTTAAAGAGTGAACAGTATGGTTGGAAACTACGACCATACATACACATACGTCACGTCCACAGTTAGATAGACAATTGTGATTTGTAACAAAAATTGTTTAGTAAGCGTTATATTATACTACTAAGAAGTCCATGATTGACAATTATCCCTGAAAATGAGGTGGTCACTACCATGCTGTTTCTAAATGTTTTCATATTTAATTGTATTTTACATTGTAAATAATGTTTAAAATAAGTTCCGTTGATGTGTTGCTGGTTCTTCCCAGGGCAGAGGTTATTTTCTGAACCTTTTGAATTTTTTAATAAAAATGATTCTGTTGTATTTAATACCATTAAAACCTATCAAGAGTCTACTGGCGAGCACAGGCCTTCCGCGTCGACTCATGGGGAGATATTTGCCGCAGCTGTCTCGCTTGGCATTCGGGCTGGGATCGTAGATTTTATTGTTTTGAGTTGTATTCAGGAAGGTGCTACTGCCCTTCCCTTATGTCGTCCTTGTCTATCGCTTCTTAGGCAGTGGATATCTGTTCACCACCGCGTCACGGGATTGTTATAGCAGGACAGGAATAATCTTACAATTCAATTCGTCACCATCCACATAACGTGCGTAGGATAGAGTGTTAACAAGCTAGCAGTCAAGTCGTCATCGAAATTTTCGACACGAGAGAAAATCCTATTGCAGAAATTACGTAGGAAAGCTTTCTGCAGCCATAATATGATTGTAGCACGAATGGGTTGGTTCGCGGAAGGACCTTGTTCTCACAGAATACCAGAGTAAAATATTGCTGTATTTCGTATACTGAGTGTAAAGAATCGGAAACACTTTTTACTAGAAAGCAGTATATAATATATATACATGTTGCATGTGTTGGGTGATGGGACCGGAGACCTTTGTTTTATAAGCTGAGACATTCCATCTCAGCCCTCGGGGGTGACAACGCATCTGCATTTTGATTCTTTATCGTGGATAGATGTAGATGTCTATGGGCCACAACATTCAATTACCACCCTTATTCAATAAAAATAAATTTATTTAATAAAAAATAAAGATATTTACTTCATATTATAGAGCGCTATTAAGAAAAGATTTGTCAACGAATGACACAATGCATCAACGAGAACATGCTGAAATATCGCTGTTTGCATGCATTTGAAATGAACAAACAAAGTTATCTGAATCAGACACATAACAAAACAATAGAAATGAATACGGCAGCGCTATCGGGTCGATTAGCGCGCGCGCCAGTGGATCGGCATTTATAGCTAATGAGTTTTCTTCTGTGAGCGGCGAGCTGCGAGGATAGTGCTTAATAGAGTTGCGTTTCTATTATGTATGTGCCGGCCGCGGCCCCTTTGCGAGCCACCGCGCCGGTTATGAAGTACATGTGCATGGATCAATTACACAGCCACGGCTCACAGGCGCCGCCCTCGCGCCCACCGACACACACGCACCGGAACGGATGTTTTATATTCAATGTATACCAAGCAATTCTTATTGTAAATCACTCTTATGTCTAATTTACCACTGGCTTGGAAAATACGTCACTCAGTCTTGGCTTTTAGTTTAGAAAAAAGAACAGTTCTTACAATCATTAAAGTTACACAATAATTAACAACACGAAACAAACTACAAATAACTTGGTAGCGATCATCTCCTTTTCGGGGATTATAATTATCATCCATAAATTCCTTAATTTTATTATAACCTTTTTTATACAATCTTAATTTAAAAGTTTTTGAACTTTGCTGAAGTCAGATTTTGTATATTCTGTGAAATTTTGTTGTAAAAGCGTATACGTATATAGCTAAGAATGAATTACCTACTTAGTAGACATGGGTCGAGTACTCGTTTTTGATTCGGTACTCGGCGGATTCGGAATTTTTTTAGGGTTCGGCCGAACACCGAGTAGGTATTAACGTCAATTACTAATAACCTTAATTATATTCCAGGGAAAAACAAAGACAATAAGCCAGTTTTTATCATTATTATTATATTAGACACATTAAAGCATCAGGAACACAATAAAGAGCAGAAATATTGAGAACGTACATAAGAACCTATAATAGAAATTATTATTACTAATTATTAAAATTTAAGAGAGGAAGATTGTGACGCAACAACACTAGTTTTTGGCCCTGTTTAGGTCTAGTGTGCTTCTCTTTGCTTCGTATACTAAGCCTGCCTCTGAAAAAAGCCGTTCACTGTAAACTTGAACTGGCGGGTGTAGATAAGTATAGAGCCGCAACTTCTCCCAGGATGGGGTAATAGCCTTTTTTAGAAACCCGCCATTTATATGGATTTGCATCTCTTGCGGCCCTTAGTACGCTTAATTAATGATCTAGCTCTGCTGCAGCGGAATTCTTAGGATCATTAGGTTAGTAACTGGTTGATGGGTCAGCGGCTTCTTTCTTCTTCAAAAGCATGTTTTGAATTAATTTTTTATGTGTTTCCTAAGATCAATTATTTTTCTAGATGTTTTACGATAATTGATAGAATCAGGCGTTACTTTGCGGAAATCCATTATAATAAAAAATAAAAATATAAATTTCTTTGCAACTTTCCGCTAAACAGTTGTTTAGCGGAACATTGTTTAGCGGAAAGTTGCAAAGAAATTTATATTTTTATTTTTTATTAGATGTTTTACGTTAAAATTATTTTTATAAGCAGTTATTTTCGCACCAGATAACGAAAACAATCTCTCGAACATGAGTTATTTGACAAGTACTCATCAACTGTGTGTGACTGATCAAGTACCGGTACAGGTACTTTTCTTTCGATACTACTTGGTACTCAGTTTTAAAGTATCGATACCAAAGTACTTGGGTATCGAAAGACACGTATCGAGTAAGAACTTGTATTTACTCGTATCGTTTCATCCCTAACTCTGTGTAAGGGAAATAACGGCGTCCCGCTCACTACCGCGTTTTTTTAAAGCCTCGTGACTGATTCACCGAGCACTCAGCCTAGATTGGGCCAAGTACTCAGCTGAATATCAGTACTCGTTTCATGTCTACTGCTGACCCTGTGGAGTCGAATAACTGGTACTAATACTAGCTTGTATCTGTTCATAGTATTTATACAGAGAATATTATCACCTATTTTATAAAACTACTTATATTTTTGTGTACTTGCATTACATTTTTGTAAAAGTATTGAGATGCCAGAGTTAATACATATATTCATATCACTTTTGATTTTAAATCATACGTCGCAGTTATGGCCCTCTTCTGCAAACCAATATAATTTCAGTGTCAGTTGCATGTCCCCAAAGCAACGTACCATACGACATTATGCTATGGAAGTAGCTGAGATTAACAAGTAGAAACCTTAAAAAATCTACTTAAGTTTTTTTTATAGCATAGGGTGACAAACGAGCACACAGTCTACCTGACGATAAGTGGTTGTTGTGGCCCATAGACATCTACATCTATCCTCGATTACGAAACAAAATGAAGATGTGTTGTCACCCCTGAGGACTAAGATGGAATGCCTCGTTTCCAGTAAAAAGGGTCTCCGGTTCTCTACACTCACCATACGAAACACAGCAATATTAAGCTGTTATTTTACGCTGATATTCTGTGAGAGCGTGGTCCTTCCCCGGTCGAGCCGACCCATTCGTGCTACAACTATACTACCACTAATATAACTGCAGCATCGCTCTAACACGCATAAATGAGATATCTATTTTTTACCGCATACGCTGCAGAACTAAATCTGCTTGCTAGTTTTGCTATATGGATACATCAACTACTTTACAATTAACAACTGAGCTTGCAGTGTTCACCCACGGAATAATTTCGTTCTGCAACATTCAACTGATGTACATTATACAGTTAGATGACAGGTATCGTTCACAGTTTTTCCATCCCTACCTTTGCGGCGGCGTGGAGGGTAAGTGAGGGTGGAAGCAGGGGCGCGGGGGCGGGGCGCGGCTTCACTCAATTTGCGCAGTTAGCGCAGCTTCAATTTTTCACAGTTATCGAACAATTTGCCGCGGAATGACGCTAAATAAGAGATCGTTCAATTTTCCTCATTTTCCACGATACATTACGTTTCTTTACTACAAACCGGAAAGAAATGCACAAATGATTACAACTAAATTTTAATTTCTGTATGTCTTGGTTAAAGATACCGTATCAATATTAAATTGTACACCGTGGAGCCACACTGCTGCTGTATATGGTTGCAGCCTGAATGGATCGGCTTGACTGGGGACGGACCACGCTCTCACAGAATACGAGCTTAAAATAGCAGCTGAAGCTCGGTAGCGTTTCGTATGGTGAGTGTAAGAACCAAAGACTCTTTTCATTAGACACGAGGCTTTTCATTTTAGTCCCCAGGGATGACAACGTCTGCAAACTCTGTATTTTAATTCTTAAACGAGGATCGATGTCAATGGGCCACAGCATCCATTCACCATCAAGGGGGGCTGTGTTCTCGCGTGTCACCCTCTTTCTATATAAAAACATTAATAAAGGTATAACTAAAGATAGTTAGGTATCAGGGCGTCAGTCCATGTCAGGTCTCACTGGCTAGGTTTATTACTAGGGACTGCGTCCCACTTCGCTATTCCATGAAGAATTTTTAAACTACATATTAACATCTATTTGTGAATCGTTATTATTTCCTACCCCGTGTACATTTAAAGTACTTGAAATTATTATTGTATGCAAATGTTTACTATTGACAGAAGTTCGTGCGCACTCGCCTTTACTGAGAAATGGCAGCTGTCCGCAACGGCATCCGCGACATATTTGAAAGACGTTTATAATTATTTTACATTTATTTACTTAAATGTTTGAATCGAGGTAAGCAATCGCCACAGTTGTAGCGCCCAGCTGAAGGCCTGGCAATTTCAATTATATTCGTATTATAGGAGCATATTATGTCGTAATATACTACGTGCAGATACTTAACTGATTGCCAATTGCCTTGTTATGAATCCTTTTCGAAAATTACGTCAATGAGGGCTAATTACATAAGAAATGAATAAGCAAAAGTTATATTCCTAAATAGAGAAAATATAAAAATAGATTTAAAAGATGTTGAGAATATTAAGGTGCAAACCACTAAGTCATCGTTTTGTATATTTATGTAGAAACCGATAAACGTTAGTTTAAAACGCAAGTTCTCAATTAAGTTACATTGTGTAACCTAAAACTTCACCTCAGTCGCCAAGCCTTCCCCATGCATTGCTTCACAGAAGGGACTTTTGCTACAATTGCTACAGTTGCTACAGTTGCTACAGTTGCTAAGTTGCTACAGTTGCTACAGTTGCTTGCTACAGTTGCTACAGTTGCTACAGTTGCTACCAGTTGCTAGTTGCGAAGTGTTTGAGTTTGGTTGTACGTTGCTACGTTGCTACAGTGCTACAGTTGCTAAAGTTGCTACAGTTGCTACAGTTGCTACAGTTGCCACGCTCGGCAAGCGAGTTTTACTTTTAGTCGTTATTAGGAAGACGCTGCTGCCCAGCTCCCGATTGGATTTGACCCGGGATGGTATGAGATAGCGGAGATTCTTACAGCGCCACTGCACGCCAGACTTCCATTGCTCATGACGTTTTGACTAAATGCCTTGAACGCAATAGAATTGTATGCAGTTGAATACGACAGGCGGCAAGCGGTTCCTTGAAGCGGCTGCATTATTCATGTGCGGCCGCTAGGGTTGCCAACTCACGTTTTATGTTTTAGAGAATTTGATTAGATCTTTTTAGAGTAAAGGTGACAAACGAGCAAACAGTCCACCCGACGGTAAGTGGGCGCTGTGGATCATAGACATCTACATTTATACCTAATCAAGAAGAGCAGACGCAACGCATGTCGCCTCTAAGGACTACTCGTAAGATGGAATGCCTCGTTGTCAGTAAAAATGGTCTCCGGGTCTCTACATTCATCAAACGAAATGCAACAACATTCAGCTGCGACTTTAAGCTAGTATTCTGTGAGAGCGTGGACTTTCCTCAGTCGAACCGACACATTCATGCTGCAAGCGTAATATAGCTGCCCCGTGGTTCTGCCACGTATGTAAATAAACAAAGGACATAGAATGAAAATAAAGGATATCATATTGTTTTCAATAAAATGAAGTTACGGTATCTGTAGTAACATAATTTATTTAAAAACAAAACAATGTAACGTAGTTTGTCTCTCTAACATCGCGCATTACGTAAAGGAATTTTTAATCTCTTCAGCCCAACTAGCAGAGAAAAGGTCGAATACGTGCGATATTGCCTTGGCCTCAATTACAAATTTTAAATTAAGGGACTAGATCAACTTTTGGATCTGATATAGAGGACGTCCCTTAAAACATTTAATATTTATACGTGGTAGAGCCGTAGTAGCACAAATGGGTCGGCCGACTGAGAATCGGATACCCTTTTTACTAAAAACTAGGCATTCCATCTTATTCTTCAGGAGGTCAACGCATCTGCATTTTGATTCTTAATCGAGAATAAATGTAGATATCTATGGGCCAAAGCACCCACTTATCATCAGGTGGACTATGTGCTCCTTTGTTACTATCGTTCTATAAAAAAAAGATATATGGCAACCCTAGCGGGCACGCGCCGCGCAAAAACCTTCTCACGGCGGCCGGAAGCACTTCGGCCATTGTTTCCGCGTCAGCGTTGCTATTGACACCGCGGCTATCTGAACAGCTTCCGTCAGGGGCGACAAGTTGCAGCCGGGTAGTCCAGACCTTCCGGTTTTTGTACCTACAGCATGAATTATGCCAGTTGTCTCGAAACGATTGTGTCACGAAAACACCAACGTCTGCAAGTTGATTTGATGAAAAACTTAAATATTACTCGTTTTTATGGGTTTTATCATGTATATTAACTTTTTTATATACCTGACGTTTTGAGAACTTTACAGCACCCATGGTCACGGAGGGGACTAAGTTGTTCAACGTCCAGATGCCATAATTAACCGCGGTTACCATAAATTAAAATTACTAATTTTTTTCTGATCTACGCAGTATGAACTTATAGTATCTTGAAGTACATATTGCAGTTGTATTCCGGGTTTGGGATTTAATTTTATTAATTATAGGATCCCAAGCAGATGGTAGCGCCCAGCCATCTTCTCTATTGAAATTAGAATGTTTTTTGATTTCAATAGCCGCGCGAATCATCCTTGGAAAGAATCGGTGTTCTTTAACGAGGATTTGTGGTATATCCTGTGAATACGTACAGGGTCGCCCCCGTCACTACATCAAATTTGACAGACAGGTGGCAGGTACGGACCATGGCTCCTGTTATCTTCCGGATTACATTTGAAATTGGTTTAATGAACGTTGTAATATATTTTTAAACATATTAATAAGAATAATATTTTTAAAAACATTACTAAAAGTATGTATAAAACAAGTAATTTATGAAAAAATCCGTCATGTAATACTTTTTTTTTTCATTTTCTTGTAATTAACTTTGAAAGATGTAAAATGTAGAATTTTTTTTCATGACAATTGACATACGGTAGGGCTCTCCATGAAGGAGATCGGTAGCATACCGGTGTAAAAAAGTACATACAAAAATTGACTTTAATATATGTAATAATTAATTACCGGTTAGTGGCAGCGTGAGAACATCCACTACCCCCCACCACCACATCACCACATCAGCACCTCGTGTCGCACGAGGCGACAGATCGACAAAAGCAAAGTCTTCTTGATAAAAACTCAAAATAATGCTGCGGAGCCGACCTCCTCCTATATTAGGGTATTTAAGAACAAAAATAATAGAAAGTCATTTAAGAAACGAATTGCTTAACTTTTAACAACCGTTACTAAAAATAATAAGGCAAAATACAAGACATTCACAATAATAAATTAGTTTTGCAATACATCGATTAATATAAATTCATAATATTCGATATTGTATTTCTAAATTCAATTTAGTATCTATATACTAAATTGACACTTAGTTAACAACAAACTAACATAATCTGGAACATTGAAAACCTTAACATATGATACTAAGGTGACAACATAAACATGGAAAATGTTGACGCATCGCAGCAGCCCCCGCTGTGATGCTAATTGCGCATGCGCAGGATTTAGATTGCTTACTCTAGCATCGCCGCGGCAGCTCCACAATGCACCAGGGTGAAGAGAACAAGACCGTGTAAAAAGGCGAATACTACGGTATTACTTAGAAACCGCGTCTCAGTGAACAGTAGTGCCGCGCAAACGAACCGAAAACATCTCTTGCGGATAGTTTTTGTCGCGAGGCATGTTGTTTATGAGTGTTAATACGTTCGACTTGGAACGCAAAACAAAGGCGGCGCGCGTCCCCAATCGTCCGCCGTAAGTAGGGTTACCAAATAAACATTTTTATAGTCCTAACAAATAACCTAATTTCCATCGAAAATACATAACATTTTATTGCAAACGTGAACGCGTACTATTGTGGAAAAATTAATATATTATTTGTTTTGCTCACGCGATCATTCCATGTCCAAGATTCCATCCTCCTCCTACCTCCCACGTATTTCTACAGTACTTTGTTCAAGTATTGATTTCTAAAATCCGACCGCAAACCTCCAAAAGTTCTGACTTAACAAGTTCAAAATCTAATTTATATTCTTTACTAAAAACTATGTCATATTACAAATTTAAGATGGTACATTATTGGTAGGTAGGGAACGATCACTGAGCAAAATATCGAATAGCAGTCTCCGAGGGAGGCCTGTGTACAGCGGTGGCTTGCTGTGGGCTGTAACGGACGGGTGCAACAATATATGTTACAAAGGAATGTTTTTAATTGTCTATTAAATTGCGTGTGCTAGGATTTCTATATTTAATTCGATAAATGGTTAAAAAATTATGAAGATAACGTGAAGACTAGCTGAAACTAATTTTAATTTGGAGAATGGTATCGTAAGCTTAAATAAATCTTCATTATTTCTTTTAGATCTTGTAATATGTGATACAGTTTTGAGTGTTTCCTGACGAATTCACCAAAAAAGAGGGAGTAGATAGACATAAGTGTCATGTCCTAATCCATATGTCAGGACCAATCCTGACGTATGGTATCTCTAGCCGCATGACCCAACGTTTAATTGTGTGTTTTGGGCTGTATTTTAGCATGACAAGCGCGGCGGCCGCATCTGATAGCGGGCAGCTGCGCCATTGTGTGCTAATGTCCACCGCCGGGCCGGGCCACTCGTTAGATTGACCGCATTTGTAGGCGCGCATACTTCCCTGTCCTTCGCTGGAAGCACTCGCGAAAACTCCCCGCTCGTTTGTAAATATTTGGGACAGCGCTAAAGCGCAAACGGCTGAAAGCAAAAACTATACCTTGTGGCAAAAACAGTGAAGCATCTGTTCATCTATCCAGAACATATTTGAATTTGTTACACTCGTAATAATTACATATATAGAAGATAGCTGATACAGAGGGAAACAAATCAGGAAATTGGCAGTCTTTCTAATAAATACTAAAAATAAAAAAACAACGGTTGCCAAACTGCTTGGAAAGCGTGGCAACTATAGATATTCCCCCTATAAGGTAGTATTGGGGAGGCCTATGTTCAGCAGTGGACTTTAATAGGCTGTAACGGTAGCGTCCTATCACACCTATCACACGCCTCCTGTCGTTTCTGAGAGGTTATGGAGTCTAAGGTTAAGTTTAAAGGTCTTTTTACAAGCTTCCTCAGGATGTTTTCTTCACGCACGGGCACGCAGTTATTTAACATTTGAGTGTTGCATTTTACAAATTCACTGTTTCCGGCGGAGATCGAACTAGAGTGGTACCGTGG